TGTTCTTCTATACTGTCACTGAAAACTTTGAAAATAAAGTAAAATTCTAGAAAAAAAAAATAAAACTTTTTCTTATGGTATATCTTTGATATATACCCGATATATACCCGATATATACCCGATATATATTATATATATGTAATATACTCATATATAAAAAAAAAAAGAAAAAAAGCTGGAGAAATTCGATTTTTTTTAGAGTTTTTAGTGACAGACATTTAGAAAGCTTTCTAAAAGTTTAAAAATGTGGAATTTGATAGAGATCTCGACTCCGAAAATTTTTTGTTACTAAAAATTTTCGGTGACACTTGGCCATATTAAGATATCGCATATATATTTACTATGTATTTTTTATGACTCTTTAGGGGGAACAGAGTCTCAGATCTTCGATCCATCGCCCGGGCCTGCAGAGCAATAGTTCTTCGAACCTATAACACTATTTTGTACCATCTTCTCTAGCTTTTTCTGCTGATATCGATCCCGCCTTCGATATTTATCTGCATGAGTATCACAATAATCGTAATTGGAATAAGTCAACTTACCACATTCTTTACAAGGTACGCGTGGTGGAGAATTCCAGTGAACTTTGCACTCTTCAGGCCTATAGCAACCTCAATTGCAAACTTTTCCAGTTCTAAGAATATAGGAGCAACGATAAAATGCCATATTTATATAATTTTGATATAATGGTTATTATCTACTAATAACTATTCTTTAGAATTAATTTTTATTTTGAACTTTTTTTTCCAGAACAATATACTAGCAGTAAAATATACTTTCCATGGATACCCAAAATTTCCAAGAAAATATCGATCACGTGTCAGCAGAAGTGGGAGTACTACCTTCTCGACCAGAGAGCCCAGAAAACTCAGAGAATTTCGAGCCGGAGATAGAGATAGAGGAAGACTCTTCAAGCTCTGCAATAGAAAATAGCAGGGCATTCTACCGCCAGGAGCTTAAAGCCGAGAGTGTAGCTGAATATCTATACAAGATCTGGGATGATAGCATGAGACCTAGAGAATTTCTTGGAACAGATTCTGAAGATGGAATAGAAGCCATACTTACAGATCGTCAGGGCCATTCGTTGTATGAATTTATTGATGAGGATGAACCACTTCGTCCTATTATTGATTTTAATTTACCAAGAAAAAAATTTGATAATATCAAACCCAAGCTTACACCTAAAGAGATAAAAAATATACTTTATAATGCTTTTACAAAAACTTGTTTGGATGTATTTCCAGAATGGGACAAAACTACTATCACTATTGCCAGTAGTAGTGATTTAAAAAAAATGTCTTATTATATCTCAACATTTGGAATGCGTCTTAAGAATATTGCCAAAGTCGCGGTATTTACCGAACTTGTTTGTAAGAAACTTCCAGTGGGTTTACAAGACAAAGAAATTGTTGACAATATCGCAAATAAAAGATCATTTTCATTACGAATACTTGGAACACCAAAATTTATTGAAAAGACGAGAGAACACGTACGTGTAAAGAAAGCATTAGGTTCCAAAAATAGGAATGTTTTTGATTTTATGCTTCGTCCTCCTAATAATGAAGCACTAGTTATAGATAGCCCGATCTTAGAAATCCCAAAAGAAATAGTGAAAAATAGTAAAGCAGATAATGGGAGCATTGGAGCTGAAGTCGATTATATAGAGAAACTACTCAATGTAATGAATATCGAAGATTTTGATGTTTTATACCCAAATCCCATGTCTCCAGATATATTCACTTTAAGACGTATAGCAGGATCACATTGCCCTCTATGTAATCGAGAATATAACAATGATAATGCATATGTGGTTCAAAATAAAAAGACGTATCACTATTATTATCATCGCGCAGATCAAGAAACACCTAATAGTACAAAAAAACCTTCATTAAAACTCATCATTAGTGAAACAGCTGAAAAGCAAGAAAAAAGACTTCCAGCTCCAGAAAAAATAGAGCAACCAAGAATTTCAGATCCGAATGACCGTTTTGTATGGGGGGACTTAATTGATATGTGTACTTCCAAGCAAAGTTATACATGCAGTGCAGTATATGAAGCAATTCAAGCAACAGTTGCATGTGTGCAAACAACATCGAGACTTTAGCTACTTAAAATAGAAAATACAGATAACAGTCTTTTCTTTAATATGGCACCCAAAATAGATCTTGCTAAATACGAAATTAATATAATCAAACTTGGAGGGGATTCAATCGAATTAAAATCATTAATACATCATACAGTTACCAAAGGTTTGATTCTTTATCGTAATGTCGATTTTTTACCATACCCGCCAGACACTCCATTTTCTAATACCAAGTTCTTCAATCTCTTTCTAGGATTCAAAGCCCGACCAGCAATTGAAATTAATCCAGCTATTATTGATCCAATTCTATGGCATGCAAAAAATATAATCTTTGATGGAAATGAAGAGCTTAGTAAATATTTCTGGTACTGGTGTGCATATCTAGTACAACAACCATCTAAAAAACCTAGAACAATTCAAGTATTGCGTTTCTTACTAGGTTGCAGAAAAAATATCTTAATTGATTTTATAGATAAGAAAGTCCTCGGATCAGAGCTTTTCTATGCAACATTTGATCTTGGAAAAATATTGGGGCGTTTTAATAGTTGCTTTCAGGCTCATAAACTAATTGTTATGAATAAAACAGGTATGTTTAGTGGAGATTGAAATAAATATAATGATCATCTTAAATCACTTATCACAGAAGATTATTTAACAGTTGAATGTAAAGGTATCGAACCAAAAGTCATAAAAGATTATGCTAGATTTATGGTATTAAGTAATCATGATGCTCCACTCCGGATAGAAATGGGTGATTGTCGTATCATATGTTTCGATGTATCTTCTCGTTGTAAAGGTAACATGGTATATTTTAAGAATTTGGCCAAAGTACTCGAACACCCTGACACACCAAATGTAGTTATGGCTTATTTACTCAGTCTTGATATCTCAGATTGGAATCCACAAGATATTCCTGCTACTAAAATGAAAACAGATATAATATTGAAACATTTACCAAACCCGAAACGATTTATAATCGATCATATTTTATCTTGGCCTGAAAATAGAACTGAGAATTCAATATGTTTAAATTTATATCAGGAATATCGTATTTGGTGTGAAAGAAATGGTGAAAATCTATTTACTAACAAAAAATTTGGAAAAACTCCTTCAACAATTGGTATAGAACGCAAGCAAGCACGAATCAATGGAAAAAGAGACTGGGTCTATACCCTTGATCAATCCAAAATCGTGAGTAAACTACGCAAATCGGGTATCAATATAGAAGAATTTTCTGACACACCTCAAGGCGAGATAACCTCCAACGCGTCTACAGATATCCCTGTATTTAACATACCCGAAATTGTAGACCCAAAGGGTCATTGCTTTGCAATAAATCCTCAACCAGCGAAAAATATAGCCGGGTCGTCAACTACCGATTACATCGAAAAAGGTAAAGAAATAGTATCCACCCCTCCTTTTACTAACACAACCCAGACTCTCTTGACTATATAATAAATCAACCGGAATATCCAGTTGCTTCGTCATCTGGGTCTACTAATATATCTATGATTTCTAAGATCGAATGTGTAGAACCTTTAGACTATGAAGCTGAATCTGAGATTATTGAATCAGTGAATGATGAAGTTGATCCATCTTCCACCACACCTGTTGATGATGAACCAGAGATATCTCCCGACTTACTTACAAATGATGAATCCAAATCCAGCAATAAAGAAGCAACTCTCCAACCGGAAGTATCACTCTCTTCACTTTCATCTGGTTATTTAACCCGAGAGCAACGAGAGAAATGTCTTCGTGAAAAAGCTATCGAACTTGGTGAAGATCCTGTCAAATTTGTTACTATAACTGATAAAGATAAGCTCGATTCTATAGCATTCCGTGATAGAATGCAGAGTGATGCGAGAATGTGTAGTTTTGCAAAGGAGGCTAAAGAAAACCCTAGTGAATATATAGATATAACAGTGCGAGAAAGATTAATAAGTGAAGAAATAATCTGCCGTTCTCTTGAGGAAGATGGAATCACTTCATCATGGCTGGATACTGATGAGGAATAGAAAAAAACGGTTAACATACTCCAGGAAAATAGTATGTTATGGTAATCACTTAATCAATAAGGAGCGAATAGATAAATTTTGCAGGTAGGAGCTTTGATATAGGGAGATTTTTTTTTGCTCCTACAAACTAGCTAATATAAAATTTTTTAATGAAAATATTACAAACTACGTATTTTTTATAATATATACTATACTATAAACAAAATGAACGATCAAGAATTGGAACCCCCAGAAAAAGTGCTTACCTTATTAACTAACCGGATGATAAATCTGAATGGACTGACATTCCGTAAATTAATCCGCAATGGATATAGACATGTTAGTGATTTATCGAATTACTCAGAAATATCTAAATATATCGATTATGGTTGTTCGGATCACACAGCCTTTTTATTTAATATATGGAAGCCAGCAGTAATACCACCACCCGAAATATTACAAAACAAACCAGACATATATCACAAATATCTTATAACTGTTGAATCGTGCCAGAATTTATTTGGATAGGTGTATTAAATAATAGAAAAATGATTCGTAAACCTTAATATAACCTGGACCTCTATTTTTAAAGCTATATGCACAACGTACATGCGAAGCAAATTTTTTCGTAATAATCTATGTATTAGTAAAATTTAAATCGACAGATCCGATCCGGCCAATTTTTTCCTCTCATGCTCAGAAAAAACATAATTAATTTCGATTTGAAAAAATATTTTTTATAGTGTAAATAACCTAAAGAATTGTTTATAACCTACTCAATATTAGATTATATCAGCTATTGTAACTAAAATCGTTGAGAAATACAATTTCAACAACGAGATGAGTGTATCTGAGCTTAGTAAATACATCTCAGAATTTCTTGAAAACCTTACTGATGATAGAAAACGGAATCAAGATTGATGACGTCTTCGAGAGGGTTTTAAATTTAGCAGTGATCAGGTAAGTATATTAATATCTAATCAAAGAGGTAGTAAGGCCAAGATTATAAATGTTATCGAGGGCAGTTGCAAAATAGCTATAGCTTCGCCCCCAAAAGATTTGGAAGAGGAGATTATCAGAGAGATAACTAAACAAATCTTACAGAATAGGTATGGCTTTAGTGAAGATCAAGTAAATGCCTTATTCTTGATCCAGAAAAATAGAAGTAGCCACAGTGTAACTATCTTAGATAAAAACGTAAATATTGTGATTTCCAACAAACCCTCGAAAGGAATTGAGGAAGAAACTATCGGAGATATGACGCAACGGATTTTACGGGATAAACTTAGTATTAGAGATGTAAGAGCTAAAGCTTATGCCTTAGCCCTATCAGCAAAAAATGCTAATATTGGCTCATCACGTCTCACTTGTCTTCGTAGAGAATTAAGGAACCTTAATGCATCACTTGAGATAATTGAGGCTACAAAATTTCCAGATATTACAGAAGATGCCAACAAAATCCAAAGTGTCAATCGGAAAAAAGCTAAAACTAAACGTATCAATTATCCAGATAAATTTACATTAGAATCGGTCAAAGAAAGGTTAGATGCATATGATTTAAAAACTCTGCCCAATTATTGGGCTCTTGCTGATGTCATGGTGATGCTTTGTATTCATCCTGCTGAACTTACAACTTTATGTATTACAAATGCCGGAGTAACAGGATATGCAAAAAATCGGGGTCAACCAGATATTCCTAGAAAATTTAGATCTATAGAAAAGAATCAAGAATAAGCCAAAGATCTACTCACTTGGATTCAGCGTGCTATATCATCTGGATGAATGGGTGATCCAGGTAAGCCAGGAGTTAAATGGTTCAATAAATTCTTAAAAGATTATGATTTAATTCCCAAATACTTATGAAAAATGGGTGCTGTTTATGGTGTGGTAGTATATGAGGCTAAGAATATAGCTCACGCTTATACAATTGCTGGAGAATGTCTACGTCATTCATCTGATAACCATACTTCTCCTGTGCAAAATTACATTGTAGTCAATTATAGAAAAAGAGGAGTTCCTTATGAGCAAGCAAGACGATTTCATATCTATGATCAAGATTAATTGCGCTTCTTCACTTTTACTATATCTACAGTAAAATCTTCATTATCATAAGAGGATTCAGAATCAGACCCAGATGAAGGCGAGGATGAGGACGAAGATGCTGTATCATTTAAAAATCTCTTTTTTCTTTTAGCCTTAGATGGTGTACGATTTCTTCGAGAAATATCTGGATTTGTTATTAAGTCAATAATTTTTAGCCCAATCTCAGGTTTCACTATTTTCATTAATTGGTGAAGAGAAATTGAAATTCTTCTATGTGATATCTGTTTAACAATACCAAATACTGCTTTATTGGTAATATATGCCTTGGCACTAGCTTCGCTATTGGGTAAACTTTTATCTTTTTCGAAACCCAATTTTTTCACAACCTCATAAGTGATAATTGGACATTCTGAACCCGAATTACAAACTACTTCTGTATCCCTATCATTGATCAATATTGATAATTTTTTTACTGATTCTATTAGCGATGCGATTTCATTATCATTCTCTTGTAAATTCTGATGAGCCGGTCCAATATTGCTATTAGCTTCAGTTATTGTAAATGCAAAATTATTATTTATTGATATGAATTTAAAAATGCAGAATTAAATATATTGTTATAATAAAACATCACGATGAGAATTTTATCTTGCGAAATTAATAAAGTATCAGTTAAAACTATATTAGATTCCGGTGCTAATTGTAATATTATAGGTGAGAGTATAGCAAAAATAGTAGGCTTGAAAATTGATAATACATCTGATACAGAAATATACAGTCCCATTAGCAAGCTCAATATATTGGGAATAATTCGTGCAATGGAAATTTCAGTCCTGTCTCAAGATCAGAAATGGAAGCAAGTAAAAGTTACTGATGTTTTCATTACCAATAAACCCAAACTTGAATCTGTACTGATATTAAGTCAGCCTTGGTTCCAGAAAAATGCAATAAAAGTGGACTTTCCAAATAAAACTCTTACATTCTTCGATGGAACTAGTTATGAGGTTAAGTGTAATTGAGAATATCTGGAAAATCCATAGTATATACGCCTAAATTAAGTATTCGAACATTAGCTGTTTTTTTCCGATTAAAGATATATAATATACAATTTAAGAATAGCACAACTAAATATTTTTGATTTACCAGAGTTACTAGAACAGATCTTATATTTTTTAAAAATTGATCGATCCCTCTATCCTGCTTTATTTGTTAACCACTTTTGGTATCACTGCGGTGCTCCTATTCTATGGCGTCATATTGAGTTTTTCAACGAAGATTATCAGCAGAGTCTGCCTGCCTTAAATATGTCTCGGGTTCTTACTCGGCGATTGATAAACTTTGAAAGAGTTATGCGTAGAAAAATAAAGCCACTCTATTGTTCAAAGATGGTATATCTCAGATTGGAGGGTTTAAAAATCAAAGATGTGTTTATTAATGCAATTCTATGCTCATGTCCATATATACGCACTCTCATTCTTGATCGAAGTAAGGGTTTCTCTAACATACCAATTATAGAAATTGCAAGATATTGCCCAAAGCTATTACACCTGAGTCTTAATTTATGTATATGTATCACTAATCGATGTATCACTGAAATATCGCATTCTTGTTCAAAACTTAAACATCTTGAGTTTGCGATTGTTCGATTAGTAATAAAGCTCTTGAGGAAATAGCCCGCAACTGTACTAATTTGAAATATCTTAGTTTGGAGGGATGTAAAGGGATTAGCGAAGAAGTGATGAAAACCTTCAATCCAAAAATTAAAATCGAATACCCTAATTATTCAGATGAAAAATGGTCCGATTCTGATCTACCTCTACCTATTCCAATGTTTACCGGTACATTATTAAATGAAACAAATCTTATTTCTGCGCTCAGTAATTGTATCAGAAATATTGGCAGAATTAATCCTAATCATTTATGGTTTACAAATAATTTTACTTAATGTCGAAGAATAGAGTAGGCAATCAGGTATTCGACAATCTCCAGCTAATTTTAGACAAAGAATTTTTATTTGCTGTGGCGTATATATGTTTGTAATAATTTTTCCTTCTTTACTTTTGATTCTAGACATGGGCACTGATTGTTGCTAGCTGATTTTTTGACGAAAATTTCATGCAATTGTTGAAGAGTGATATTCGGAAACAATGGTAGTCCCTCACTAGTAAACCAAAACTTCTTTACCCCATTATCAACGAATTTCTTTATTAGCACACCTAGATCATCTTCTAAGGGGCCATGGAATTTCTCAAAATTTCGGAGGCTTCTTCTGCTATTTCTTGATTAGTATAGCCAACAATACTGATTTTTTCCTGAATTGTCGCTATATCGTCTTCTAAGCATAAAAGCAAATCAAATAATCTAATCAGTTTATCTGAAGAAGCTTTATCCCTTCTAAGTTCCGCTTCTAAAACGGGATTGATATCTATACCAAGTTTTCCCTGTATAGGTATTAAATTCCCCACCAATTTTAACAACAATTTATATGAATCATCAAGTGTTTTTCCATCGGGCTCGTGTTCTATTTGCTTTAATGTATTACTATTGATACCAAGTTTTTCTTGAATTGCTATTATATCCTTTTTCTTATATAAAAACACCTCGTATAATTGAGGAAATTTTTCACTTGGATCAGTATTATTATTAGTATTACTCGTCATGGTTGTTATAATATGGTAATATAATTAATGCGGAAAATAACGCATAAATATATAAATTAAGTGAATATAGCAAATTCAATCTGAAAATAATTATAACCACATTATTATATTACGTTATAGGGCAAAGCTCATTGCAAAGCAATAATGGAGCGATATCATGTGTTTTATTTCAAAAAAATGGCTCTTCGAGCCTAAATCCGCGAATCAGAGGTCAGCCCGTGGACATACATAGCCAGTGATAGAAAAAATAGTTGGTATATTGATCGTAACGTATCCGAAAAATAGTGAAGACTGGAGTGATCTCGATTCGATAAAACCCCGAAAGAATTGTGTTTATGTTAGAAAGAAAAAGATTGTCTCTTCTATCCGAAAACTAAGCATACCAACTATGTCTGCATGCCAGAATAGTGATCTATCTAATTAACTATAACAACTAGTACGAGTGGAAGGTCTTTGAATCATTTTTCGATATGGGCTAAAATCTTTCTAGATAATATCTTCGATGAAGGTACCTCTATCAATACTTTCTCAGCACTTTTTTCAGTACATATATATATATCCACATTATATGTATTAATTTTCTGCCCTTATAGTTATGTCTGTGATGAAGTAAAAATTGATACTTATCTATTACAATATCAATCATCTCCTCCTGATCTGCTATTAATTCCCGAAAAAGCTGTTTATCTTCCTCTGTAACTGGAAGACGAATTTCTTCAGGACTGAAGCCTATATACTTGGAAATCTAATCGCGTAGTTCATAAGACATTTTTCCGTTGTTATGATACATAATAAAAATATATTTAATTTATTTTACTATGTTATGTTATAATGTGCTTTGGGAGCGATATCATGTGTTTTATTTTAAAGAAATAGCTCTTTGAGCCTAAATCTGCGAATCAGGGATCAAAAAAAACGTGGGACACATGACTAGTGATAGAAAAAAATAGTTGGTTTGTTGATAATGCGTAACATATTCGAAAAAATAGTGAATATTGAGTTGAGATAGTCAGGCCTTCAGGCGCCTCTTCGAAGTATGACATTAATATTCGGAACTACTATCTGTGCTTAACAGTTACTATTTGGATTAAATTCTGATATTTATTTGTATAGCAATAAAAACGATAAGTTTTTTCACCACAAAATTCGCCACTACCCCAAGAACCCTCTATACGGTTTTTTATACTTTCTTTTTTATGGTTTTTATTACATAAAGGGCAGGGTACTGATCTATTAAAATCAAAATAATTACTATATTTAAAATTATGTTTTAGAGTTAAATAAGGAAATCGCTCTAATACCATTTTAATAACGTGTTGTTGCCTTTCTTTCGGGTCTTTAGGTAGAACAGAAATTGGGAATTGTCATTTAGATGGCGTAGATTGAACATTTACCCGCGGTACAAATAAAATCTTTTTCTCAAAATTTTTTTCGATTTGTGGGGGTTCCGGATTTTCAGACTTTATCCAGGGATCAAGCCCAGTCTCTTCCGTATATGCTCTATATAGGATCAAACGAATTTTATCAGTTAAAAAAATTGGTACTTCAACCAATTTAGCATACCAGTCCAAATATTCAGGGGTTAAGGCACGAAGTGTCATTTCTCTGAAATAGGCTTTATCCATATTATTGTTTTATATGACGCAAATTCAAATTAAGTTAAAGTGTCTTGTCTCACTTAAACTTTGTGCATATTCTGAAATAGCAATTAAAAAATAAATATTGTTAATTAATGATTACCGAAGGCACTCACACCTGGATGGCTTTACAATTTATGCTGTTATTTCGACTTCACGCTTTCCACACATAATAAAATAGGATCCAGCTTCGTATTTACCTTTTACACTTTTCCCGTCTTCATGATCTAGTTTACATACCGGGCATAATGAACCCTCAATAATTCCATAACGATCAAATTTTTCAGAAATAAATACTTTATATAGATCAGAATATCGCAACAATGTCTTATTACGAAAGTAAGCATGGTCATGAATCTTATTTTCTGGAAATATATTATTAGGTGAAATACTAACCTCACTCATATGAGTGCGTGACTTTTGGTCACACGGTATAGCAATGAAATGCTTCTTAATTGTATCGATCTGCACGTCAGTTAACTTTGAGAGTTTATTTGCACTATAAGTTTTAATTCGCTTAATTTTATCTTCTCCAATTATGCTAAATAATTTGTATATAGGTTTAGTTCTTTGAGTTCTTTTACGCAAACTTACACGAGAAATACCTGAAAGATATTGTAGCATTTCATCATAAATCTGCCTACTTGCTAAATCATAGGCTCTCTTATCATTTCTTTGATTTTCGGGTAAGATATCATCAAGTCTTTTTTTGAAATGCTTTCTATATTGGTACCAGCTCGTAATTTCTTCTACCTTGGCTCGTTTAGTATTATTTTCTGCCAAGCTTATTTTTTCAAATAGATAGACCAATTCGATTGTGAGTGATTGCTCATCTGTAGAATTTTTATCAACATTGACAACTTTAATGGTATCTTCCACTAAAGATTCTATTTTTAATTCTTCTATCAAAGGCTGTATGTCTATTTCAGGGTTTTTTGTCTTCTGTAAGTCTGTATTTTGTTCTAAGGATTCTTCAGGTAAATTAGGAGTGTTAGGAATAGATTGCGATTCCAAAATTTGTTTGACGTGTAATTCATTATGAGATTTTGGCGAGCTATCCAAATATGAGTTTTGGGCTTGAAAAACGGAAGCTTCATTACTCTGTAATAGCTTCTTTTCCCGATTCCTTTCTCTTATTTCGTTTTGAATCTGTTCATTATGTTTTTCACTCAGAAAATTATCAATCCTTTTATCTTCCGATGATTTAGACTTTACACATATTAGGTGGTATAGTCAAAGATGAATCGGAGACTCAAGACTGATATTCATCAGAATTTGAAACATTATTGGATACATCAGATGCCGGAACATCCTTATTTTTCAAGACCGCCTGTTCAGAGGTGTCATCAGTTATATCAGATATGGGAGTATCACCACATTGTAGCACTATCTGTTTGAGAGTATCATTAGATTTTACTGGAGAGTGCGGAACATCTTCCGTAGGCTCGAAGAGCCATTGCTCTGCAATAGAAATACTTTCTTCTTCTTTTCCCTGTTCTAATATAGCGAGCCTAGTCTCAAGCTCTATATTCTTTTGCTCTAATTCCTTGACTCTAACATCACGCTTTTCATTCTCCTCGATAATATGCTTCAGCCTCGCATTCTCCTTTCTAAGCTCGGCAATCTCAGCTATAAGTTTGGAATTCTGTTCTTCTAATGTATCGACTTTGGATTGCGTGTTTGCCATTTTTTATACAAAATGCAGATATGTTCAAAAGTTTGAATAAATAGAAATAATGAGTGCGTGACCAAAAAGTTAAAAAAGTCACGCCGTTTGCTTTTGCCAAGAAAAAAAAAATTACGATTGATATGTTTACAGTATATACAAATCACACGGGAGCGATGTCATGCGTTTTAAACCCGCAATCGGAGATGTCATAGTCTCGTGGAACATGCAAATCGTCGATAATCGGTAAGTTGCATATATACAACAATCAACCAATCAAGATTGATAATGGGTCGTTCTATATCGGGATAATCGTTACATGATCTATTTCGGAATCAGCACTATTATGATTCGTTTGCAAAATTTGTAGGATATAAGATCTAATCAGAGATCGTTTCGGGTTATCAGTAATCAAAAATCACGTGCGCTACAAGTTTGCTTTATTGGGTTTACATAATACAAAAATAAACTACAGAACCGAAAAAAAACTTATATTTCACATTAATTGATTTTCTGCCTTTTCTCCGCCATATTTAACTTTCCCCACAGCTCCGCCTCTTTTAAAAGCCAGACGATTCGGCCTAAGATTCTACCTGCACCCTTATCCAGAGACTCCGATTCCTCCGTCCAATCCAAAACAGCTGGCGTTTTCGAATGCACGCTAATTTTTGGTTTATCACCATCCATAATAAACTCGACAAAATACCACGCTCGGCCATCGGTAACGATTCCGTACGCCTTATCGGCAAACTCATCCTCGATCTCGTCATGCTTGCGCTTTCGATTAGTTTCGAGAGACGAATGTAGTTGGATTACGTTCTGAAATATAAACATAGGTACAGTATATCTGTATGCAAAATGACGATTTATTCTACCTGGGCCATGCCTTGGTCAAAATCTTCTTTTTTTACTTCCACAACACCGATTATTACTCCAAGGAGTCTTAAGCAGAAATCGAGCGGACCTCGGCCATATTTTCCTGCAACATATAGTTGCGGATATAACTTTACTAATCCGTCAAAAAGCGATGTGGCCGTCACAAGAAAGGGGGAGACGTATTCACTCCGAGTGGCCTCCGTTTCACCATGTATCGCTTTATAACGAAGTCTCAGATCTTTGCAAAGGTGAGCCATCAAATCTTTTGCTTTTTCTGAATCGAGTTTGTCGATACCGCAATCGAAAGTGGGAAATTCATCAATGCCCGACGCCAGGCCAAGGAGTTCGCATACCTTACTGAGTTTCCAATCGGAGAATGGTTTTTGCACAGTATCGATTTGTACTTTGAGAGTAAAGGACGCCTGCACGGCACAAGACTTGAGATATTGCTGAAATGTGGCATCGTCTCCCAAACCTAACTCTTCACAATTCTTTTCATCAGCTTTGGCGAAACGTAGGGTTAAATCCTCAGGCTTTGTATCCTGCGGAAAAGGGAGGACTTCGAGGATGGATAACTTCATAGTATCGAGGGTCACTGTACTAATATCGACCGGCCACGAGAAAGTCTTGCGTTGCTTCCCATACGAAGCTTCAATCGTAAATACTCTGTGATTGTTCTTGAGTGATTCCAACTCCTTCTGAAGTTCTAGCTCACGGCTCGAAGTAGTGGTTGATACGGGTGGTTCGACTATGACATGTATATGCCTTTTAGGCAGTTTCTTGGTCCAGTAATCTCCTGCGTCTCGAGTTGCCAGAAGTTCGACATCTAATACAGGGCTAGCTAACTCGGAATCGCGATCGTCAGGAAATTTCGACCTTCCATAACTTGATGTCTTTGGCTTTGACATCGTCAGAAACATCTATCTCCTCTCGTATAACTTTTTTGAGGTCACTAATAAATTCTTCCCTCCCAATACTGACCGAAAATGCGCTAGAGAGTGTATTCCCCTTTACAAGACAGAAGAGTTTGATGGGCATTTCGATTTTTTCGTGGAATGTTATTGGTAGATTGTGTGTACACAAGAAAAAAACGATAAATGGGTATTAGAAATGCATTCGGTTTCACAATGCCGTGTACTACGTTACTTTTCGGCAGAAATTTTTCCGGGTGATCAGGTCACACGATTGCATCATATATGAATAAGTTCGATTTTATAGGATGTGATACGTATTACGGATCGAATATCTGTATTACGCATTCAATTTTTCAGGCATATCAGCATTTTCATTAACTCTGATTTTTTGTGTCTTAGACACTAGCTATCCATATAACAAAAAATGTAACCAAATATTTGGGTAAGTTCGAAGAACCTTGATTCGGAGAATCGCCTATGGCTTGCTCTGCAATAAAATTTATTACTTTTTCAGACGAAATCTAACTCCCTCCTCATTTATAGATTCCATATAAGAGGGTGGCTGACTACCATCACTGTCATTTGGTGATACAGATGTATGTGCTTTAGCACTAACTCTGTTATTAAGGGATGAGTTAATACTTGCCAACTCAGATGCAGATGAATATGGTTTAAAAATAATAATTCGAATGGTTCATTTTATTTAATGATTTAATCGAGCGAGATAGCGAAGCCTTTAGTATAACTAAAGAAATAAAGATACATGGATAATAATAAATAATAGCGGAGGTACATATTGTTTTCTTACGGCAGAGTTGCAAGGGAGAGAACGTACGGCCCCTAGACCATTTAATATACACCCCTATACTTTGGCTCTACCGGGTGAAAAACTATTTATTACTATAGGCCGTATCATCACTTCTGATACATCACATTTTATAAAATAAATTAAAAAGTTTATTAATAATATTAAATCTA